TCAAAGTTCCAATGACATTTTTCACAGAAATAGAAGAAGCTTAAAATTCATATAAAACAACAGATCCCAAATAACCAAAAAATCCTGAGGGAAAAAAATAAAGCTGGAGGTATCACACTCCCTGATTTCAAAATATACTACAAAGCTATAGAAACGAAAACAGCTATAGAAGTGATACTGGCATAAAAACAGACACACAGATCAATGGAACAGAATAGAGGGCCCAGAAATAAACCCACACATCTAATGGACAGCTAATTTTCAACAAGGGAGCCAAGAACATATTATGGAGAAAGGAAAGTCTCTTCAACAAATGCTGTTGGGAAAACTGGACAGCCACATGGAAAAGAATGAAAGTTGACCATTATCTTACACTACACACAAAAATTAAATCAAAATGGATTGAAGACTTGAATATAAGATCAGAAACCATGAAACTTCTAGAAGAAAACATAGGCAGTACACTCTTCAACATCAGTCTTCGCAGCATATTTTGAAGTACCATATCTGATCAGGCAAGGGAAATAATAGGAAAAAAAACAAATGAGAATACATCAAACTAAAAATCTTCTGCACAGCAAAGGAAACCATCAACAAAACAAAAAGACAACCTAAAAATTTGGAGAAGATATTTGCAAACCATATATCTGATAAGGGGTTAACACCCAAAATATATAAAGAAGTCATACGTCGCAACAGCAAAAGAACTAACAACACAACAAAAAAAATAGACAAAAGATCTGAACAGACACTTTTCCAAAGAAGTTATACAGATGGCCAGCAGTCACATGAAAATATATTCAACATCACTAATTATTAGGGAAATGCAAATCAAAACTACAATGAGACGTCACCTCACACCTGTTAGAATGGCTATAATTAACAAGACAAGAAATAACAAGTGCTGGAGAGGATATGGAGAAAAGGGAACTTTCATTCACTGCTGGTGAGAAGGCAAACTGGTGCAGCCAGTATAAAAAACAGTACGGAGATTCCCCCAAAAATTAAGAATAAAACTACCATATGATCCAGCTATTCCAATGCTGAGTATTTATCCAAAGAACATGAAAATATGAACGTGTAAAGATATATGCACTCCTATGTTTATTGCAGCATTATTCACAATACAAGACTTGGAAGCAACCTAGGTGCCCATGAAAGGATGAATGGATAAAGATGAGGTATATATACATAGAATGGAATACTACTTGGCCATAAAAAGGATGAAGTCTGGCCATTTGCAACAACATAGATAGACCTTAAGGGCATTATGGTAAGCAAAATAAATCAGATGGAGAAGTCACACACTGTATAATTTCACTTATGGGGAAGAGATAAAAAACGACAGCAATGAAGAAACCCAAAGAAGCAGAGAATAGATTGGTGGTTCCAGAGAGGAAGGGGGGAGGGTAAAAGGAGTATAAGGGCACCTGTATATGGTGATTGATAACAATTAGACTTTGGGAGGTATTGAAATCTACACAGAAATTGAAATATAATGATACACACCTGAAATTTACATAATGTTAAAAATGAATGTTACCTTGATAAAATATTTTAGAAAACAACAACAATGGTTTTAATTTTAAATTTATTATAAAATTTAAATTTATTATATTTTCAATACACTCCAAATTTGTATTAAGACTGAAAAGTAATAATATTATTCTTGTATGACATTTCTTAAAACTATTTAAAAATAGACTTGTAGTATATCTTGTACTACCAAGATTTTAAAAAAAGAATGTGCACAGACCAAAGAATGTAGAATGCCATAGAATTTTTCGAGGATTTTCAAATGTTGTTGGTCATATTTTTCATGTATGGTGGTGTTGTCATATGTCTGACTCTTCAAAGCATTTTTGTCTGTATTCAGCTTTTGTAACTTGCCTTTGAATGCTTTATATAATTCTTTTCCTTTCATTTCAAGTACTGGGAAAATTCTTCAACACACAAAATTGTCTTATGTGGAAATATGTAAATTTGGAAGTACACAAATTTAATAATTATTTGTTTTACCTGGCTTATATCTGAGGCTATGTTATCAATCCTTAGAGGAAAATATTTAGCATTTTCTACCTTATTTAACATTACTTAAGTCATCACATCTGTGATAATATTAATTGTTCAGCTTTGTATTTCATTCTCTAAGTAGTGTGTTATTGTTATTTGTTACTAATGCTATTATTTGTTATTAATGATAGATTTCTACATAAATGTTCTGCCATAATGTTGGCATAATTTGCAGTAGAACTTGCCAAGTGAAGAGAATACTAATACATTGTCTTGGATGGTGCTCTGAATGCTTGACTTTGTCCTGCCAAAACTGAATCATCCATATTATATGTTCAATCACAGCATGTCAATATTTTCATATAGTCATAGTCCCACAGCCTTCATAGTTATATACTTTAATCATATTTCTATTTTGAATACTTATGTGTTCAAGTATCATTAAGGATTTTTCATTTTCTTTTGCTCTTAACATGATAATCCTGATGATCTTTTACTCATTCTCATTCATCAGATGATTTTTTCATTCCTAAAGAATTTAATATAAATTAAATAATAATACATAAGAGGTTTTTTTTAAAGCAACCAGAATCTAGTTATTTTTTCACCAATCAAAAAAATTTGTGTGCAATAAATGTTTCAAAACCGATCTTTACTTAAACTTTCTAGTGAAGTGCATTGAGCATTCAAAAAAGTGTACAATAATAATTATAAAGATCCCTGAGTTATCACAAAAAGAACACACCTGTGTCATGCAATTCAAGTCAAGCAGTAGAATATCACTAGCGCCTCAGAAGACTCCTTATGCCCCACCCAAAATTACTCCATCTCTCATCCCTAAACATAACCTCTATCCTGACGTCCAACATTATAATTAGTGTTTCTATCGCTTTGCAATAGTTTACCTTCTCCCTAAAGAATACCCTTATTCATTTTCTTGTATGGTGACAAATTATTCCAGTTTTTCCCTGTCTAAAAAAAACGTATTTACCTTCAATTGTGACGTATATTTTCAAGAAATATAGAATTCTAGATCTTCACTTTCATTATGTTAGCATGCCAAAACCAATATTACGTTAATTTCTGGCCCCTTTGTTGTGTTGGGTTTTTTTTTGAGAAGTCAGATATTAGTCTAATTATTGCTCCTCTCTAGGAAATGTGTCTCTTGTCTCTGGCTATTTTTAACACATTCATATTGTCTTTGGTTTTCAGTAGTTTTATGATGATGTACTTTGTATTACATTTTATTCATTTTGCCCTGATTCACTGGAAATTTTGAACTTGATTTTCTCTTTCAGAAAGTTCTCAGCCAGTATTTCATCACAAGCATTATCTGTTCCGTCCTCATTTCTGTCATTTTGTGACTCCAACTACATGCATTTGACTTTTACATGATAGCCCCTCAATTGCATGCTTTGACTTTTCTATGCTGTCCAAACTATTGTCTCTCCAAAATTCATTCTGGATATATTTTCTAATTTGTCTTCCAGTAAACAAATTCTCTCTTAGTAGAGTCTTATCTGCTCTTACATCCATCCATATTTTTGGTTGCTATTATTTTATTTCTCTATTAACGAATTTGCATTTGTTCATTCTTTATAGCTTCCATTTCTCAGCCAAAATTTTTAATCTTTTTTTAATCTCTTTGAGCATGTTAAGTCTGCTTATTTTAAAGTCTGTACCTGATAACTCAATTATCTAGGACCCAGGTAAGTCTGCGTCTACTCTCTGTTCCCCTTTTATTCTTTAAATTTTGGTTCATTTTACCTTGTCTCTTTATGTTTCCAGGTGGTGTTTGTTTTGTTTTTGTCTCTGTTTTGGATTTTGAATGTTGATCATTTATTTTTTAAAACTCTAGAAATGGTTTGGGGCTGAGAATAATGTCATCTTCCTCCAGAATCATTTAAGGATATTAGCAATACAAAATTACTTTATTAATTTCAGAGACTAAGATAATTTGAAACTTAGCTACAGTTTCTGCAAAGGTTATTCTCATTCTGCTTCACACTTCCTCCTAGGATGCAGACCTCTAGGCTGGAAACCAAAATTCATGCACCGATGATATCTTTGAAGATTTATGAGTCTGCTGAAAGCTTTACTTAGCTTGTCAGTTTCCGTAGCTGCCTCTCTTGGAATTAGCAGATGCCCTTAGAGGAAAAATAGTTCCAAATACAGAGCTCACCTTTGCGAATTTGTCTTCTCCCAGATATTGACCCAGTAATTTATCTCTTCTTTGTAGGTTCTTCATTGCCTTGAGGCAGATTTTGTTTTATATTTTTCTTGCTTTTTCTAGTTGTTCTTGACAAGAGAGTTGATCCAAATTAGGTCGGCTACAATTTCTAGAAGCAGAAAACCTGTGTTTCTTTTTTAATTATTTATGAATTAAACTTATCATCCTTCCATGAGTGAAGCCACAATTTGTGTTTCGGATACCTAGGAAATAACAGAGCTGGTGAAGACGAATTGAACTGAGCATGTGTACAAGCCACGTGAATTCAAAGTTAGTTTCTTCACAGGTCTCCTTCTTGACCATTAAGCCACCTCAAAATAATGTAGAAGAGGAACTAAATTTGGGGCATCTCATTTAGGCTGCATACCTAGTCTAGACTGAAAGCCAAGTAAAAAACTGGTGCTAATTGTTTTTCTGCCTAATGTTTTAAAATAATCCATTTCTAAGAGCTCTCTGATTCCTTTAACAGAATCTTTGCCTCACCCATTGCTGCTGAGGCAGCCTAGTTGAAGGTCAGTGCTTATAGAATGGCATGCACATTGCTTAGGATTTGCTTTGGTCTTGTGGCCTGTGTTTTCAATAGCAGATTTATTTGTGAGGCCTGTGCATTTATTTAAGGCCTAGCAAATAAATCTCTTCTTCCATAAGAACACACTCTTGCTCTAGCAGATGCTGTGGTCAGCCACCAAGATGGGCCCTTCAAGACAAATAGGCTCATTCACTCAGCTTAGGAGTGTACTGGCTGCTGACTGCTCACAGACAGGTCTCCAGGAATTGTCTCCAGTGAAAGAGAGATGCTTTGTGCCAGGGAATGCTCCTTCCCTGGGGAGAGCACACATCAAATGTGGGAGTAAAAAGGTAATGCCCCACTACTTGTTGTAGCGAATCTTTGAAGGGCCATCCTAGCTCCAGAATAGTCTATGAACTTGATTAAATCCTCAACTGCGTCACAGTTCAACTTCTCCCTCTGCTCAGCCCTGCTTCCCTCTCTCTTTTACAGGTGTTGTTCCTGGGAGCATCCCTAATGAATGTTCCACATGCAGATGTCCATCTGAGTCTGTTTCCTCAGAAATTGACATAAGACACTCATTTATATAAAAACAGCCACTTGATTTGGACAAAGCCATCGTGAGCAGCTGTAATCTGTCACAGTGAAAACCTCAAATAAACAACAGGTGCAAAATCTTACAGCTGTCTGGCCAGGCTACAGCAGGAAAGCGGCCTCTGCACAACATAGAAAAATCTCTCATGTTGAACCATAGAGGCCACTGCACACCACCAAAGTCAAAACTGATGTGGTCATGCCCTAATTTCTAAAGCCAAAGGCCATTTGCACTGAGATAACATGATAACATGAGATAATGATAGAGATAACATGGGTGTCATTGTCAAAAATTTGATTTAGTTTAACAAAAAATAAATAATCCATATAGGTCATTGCAATGAGAAAACCCAAGAGCTACAGGCCAACATTTCTTGAACCAAAGCTGTCAACCTTTAATCGATATTCGGGCAACAACCTGGACTCGTTGGGATCAAGTTTGGCTGCAAGTGACAAAAATTTGAATTTCTCTGTCTTGTGAAGAGACTGGAAGTAGGCAATTCAGGGTTGTTCTAGTATTTCATTGGTCAGGGACTTGGTTCCCAGTTTCCTTTTTGGTTTTGGGGGTTGTCTGTATTTTTTGTTTTGTCGTGGTCTTTACTATGCTTGCTCTTCATTCCGAAGATCATCCCATAGTCTGAGATGGTTGCCAGAGGTCCTTCTGTCAAACTCACTTTTTATACAGCAATAAGGAGAAAGGAGGAAGCTGAACACACCCACCTCCCACTGCTTCAGACCCACTTTGCAGAAGTCGTACACCGCATTGGTCAACTGCAGTCACATAACCACAACTAGCCAAAAAGGTGCCTAAGAGATATAGCTTTTATTCTGCCCAGCTAATAATTGGTGGATTGATTTACTCCAGAGGAAGTGGAAAATATATTCTGGGAGACAATCAGTGGTATAGCTCCATTTGGCAATTCATCTATCCATTTAGGTACATCAGTGCATTGCTGGCAACCAGTTTCACTTGAATAGGTATCCTGGAAATAACATTGTTCAAAGCTCAAAGCCCATAGGTGCTTATCTCAGGACACTTTATATGAAAATTAGTGCTCATGCTTATTTTAAGTGTTTTCCTGTCAAAAGTCATATCTGACATTCTCTCTGGGGTAGACTTGGTTATGCACTGGGGATGGAAGTAGTGGTGGGTAGGCCAAGAAGTGCTTATGTCTTAGGACAGAATCAAAATTATATCTCAAGAGGAATCCTGGTACTCTCTAAGGGTTTTATTAGCCTCTTCTGAGCCAACCTGAGATCCAAGCAACAGTTCTTGAGTAGATCTCCAAAACCACAAGCAATTTCCAGTTTCCAATTCCACCCACAGCTCAACTGGTTATTAAAGTTACTGCTCTGCGTTTAACAGATAGTATAAAACTGTGGTACATAAGATATATGTTAAAGCACATAATCTAAAAGTCACTGCTTCTCAAAAATAATTATATTAGTTCAACATAAACAATATTTATGGGAGACCTAGAGTCTGTTCATTCCTATAGATAATGTAAAATCTCCCCTTGAGTTTGCCAGAACATCAGAGAGCTGCACACAGGACCAGATCGTGCCGTGTTGTGTAGTTATTTTTACCCATTTGTTACTAATATAATCACCTTTCCTTAAGAGACTTAAAACAAACAGTGCTGTGAACCTAGTGAAATTTACTGAATGAACTTTCATGAGAATGTTGTTCACTGAACCAAATAGTTTCTTTTTTATGAGAACTGATGCGAAAAATTTCTTTGTGGCCTCAGGATCAGGAATAGATACACTTTTCCTGAACCACTTATTTGTCTATGTCATCTAGACACTGTGAATATGTAACTAATCCTGTCTTAACCCTCTTACATTCCTCTAATAATTTGCAACCCACATATAGCCCGTGTATAGGATATCATGACACTTTTTAAAATTTACTCCGTTCTTGGCTTCATCATTTTTTACCTGCCATATTATTATTGCTATATTTTTAATATTATGTGCTTGTTTCTGTATGTAATTTTCAATTATTTTTAGAGCTAAAAAGTTATTGTGAATTTCGGCATGGGTTTGTAAGCTGCTTGATGATTTGGGAAACTCCTAATTTTCTAGCAACAATTAGGGTGCTGAAACTTTGTTTTAATCTCTACTGTTACCCAGTGGTAAAATATAGACGTTTATCCCTATCGGCACACTTTGATGATTATCAAACTCCTGACATTTGCAACCAGCAGGCCTTGATACTGCAGGCATTTTGACTCTGTGCTTACAAATTAAAGTATTTTATATAGCATTATATATTTTTATGATTTTTCTCTGAGACGGTACTTCTGAGGTGCAACGCCTTATCTCAATTCAATCTCTTGCTTCTATAGAGCATAATTAAAAACATTTTCCAATTTTTGCTTTGTTGTGTTGTGTTCTGCCTTTGGAATCTTAAGTACAGATTGTTGAGTTAGTCATTCTCCTCCATGTACAGGCTCATGGATATCATTTTATCTGAGCACCCCTCCTCTGCAAACTGTTTGGTTTATTTTTTTATCCCTATTTCCTTTTCATTACCTCCTTCTAATGTGTTATCCTTCTGTTTCTATGTGTTCTTATAAAGTATGGTGATGTTTGATGTGCACAATTTTAATTTCCATAAAAGGTTATACTATGCTTCTTTTATTAATGTATTTCATTCAGCACTCTTTTTTTTTTTTTTTGAGGAAGATTAGCCCTGAGCTAACTACTGCCAATCCTCCTCTTTTTGCTGAGGAAGACTGGCCCTGAGCTAACGTCTGTGCCCATCTTCCTCTACTTTATACGTGGGATGCCTACCACAACATGGCATGCGAAGCTGTGCCTTGTCTGCACCTGGAATCCAAACCGGGGAACCTCGGGCCACTGAAGCAGAACGTTCACACTTAACCACTGCACCACCTGGCCAGCCCCCTATTCAGCACTCTTTTAAAGACCTTCCATATTATTCTGTGTCTACTTGCTTGTTTCTGCCTGCTGTACAGAATTCCATAGTGGGCATCTACTACATTTGCTTATGTATTCTGATAAGGATGAACATCTGGCATGCTTCTAAAACCTCACTACCGCAAACACACTGTGATAAACATCTTTATATATGTTCTCTCTGGAGCGGGGTAAATGTTTTCTGTTGTGTGTATTTAGAAGTAAGAAAGTGGGGTCAACATGTACATCACTAGACAAGATACTGCCACAAAATCTTAAGAATTACTTCACCACCAACAATGCATGGGGATTGCCCCCCATCCCACATCCCTGCAAACACAGGGCTGCTGTAGCTTTCTGATTTTGCCACTTTGGTGGGGTAAAATGTGATCCTGTCTTAATTTGCATTTCTCTAATTACGAACGAATTTGAGTAAAACTTTCATTTCAACAAAAGCTATTATAGGTATGCTTCATTTATTAATGCATTTCATTCAGCACTCATTTAAACCTTTCCCTATTACTCTGTGTATATACGTATAAAATATGTATCCACATTTTACTTTTAGAATTTCAAATACTTCTCTCATTTTTTCACTCATTTTCTACAGTGTATACTTTATTGAAGAGGAAGCCTTAATTTTATAAAGCAAAATTCAGCAATATTTACTTTTAGTTTAACTTAATTTTATTATTCTTTTTCAGCAAAACCCATCGGTTTTATGGTTTGTGGTTCAGAAGCAACAATATGCAAAACAGTGGAATAGTCTATGCTGCCCTGCACCTGAATAAGCCTTCTCTTGTCCTGCAAGAGCTGAAGAACCCAGAATCCTTGTGCCTGCGGGAACTGACTAAATGTTAGAGCACCCTGGGAGGGGCCAAGCCCGTCAGGGTCAAGGCAAGTAGTGAGGGGCGCGATCACCCTCAGGGGCCCACTGTGTAACCAGAGCTGTGTACATGTATGCAGGGTGTGGAGAATGACCCACCATGGGCCATTTCTCCTCAAGGCTCTGGAGTTTCCAATTTGGGAATTTAGTTAAAGAAGTAATTCCCCACTAATTGGTTATAAAGCTATTCTGCTACATTATATGTTACTAACTTTGTAGTATTATCTTTTGCATTTAGGAATTTATTCCTTTCTGAATAAAACTTTGCTTGTGTCTTTCAAAAATGATTTAAATATTTTTAGTCATTTGTTCTTCCATATAATATAAAAAATATGTTTACTAAAGATCTTCACAATCCAGCTGGAATTTTAATTAGGTTTTTATTGAAGATATACTATATTTTTTCGTTATAATTTTTATGATAATAGCTCTTTCCATACAACTCTAATTATCAGAAACACTCTTCCGAATTTTAAAAGTTTCTAGGATTTGTCTGTAGAATTCTTGTATATCCTTTCTTTAGCTAAATTTTAGCTATTTTATAGACTTTGTTCCTGTTATTAATGGTATCTTATTTTCTTTTGTTTGTTGCTTTTGTAAAAGAGGGCTATGAACTTTTTAATATTTAGTTTGTTCTTGATATCTTGCTAATTTTTCATTGTAGTTCAAAGGTTTGTTTCTTATTTTATTCATTTTCTAGGTAGAAATCATTTCATCTGAAAAAAATACCTATTCCCTTGAAATCCTTACAGTTTTTATCTATATGTTAAATTCATAACTAGATAAGTTATGAGTTCTTTTGCTATTCTCCATATTTTGATGATTTTTTATTTTCTTGTATACAATCATAAAATTTCCAAATATGATCATTTTTTCCTTAATATCTATTTTCACACCTCTTTATTTTTCTGGGCTTACTGGATTGACTAGCACTTTTAGTTTTCTGGTGAAGAGCGATGACTGTTGTAGAGAGACATCTTGTTCTTGATTTTCCCTGGATGCTTTAAAGCTTCAAAATCAATATATGTCATGTAGGTTGTTTGTAGCTACATTTGACCAGACAGTGTGAGTTTCCTTCTATTCTGACTTGGTAATGTTTTATCAGAATGGACATTTAAATACATCAAATAATTTTTCTGTAACTCTGGAGATGATTACACGGTTTTAATCTCTAATCTGTCGAAGTAAGTGATTCAATTAAGAAATGTTTAATGGTAAACAATCTTTGCATTTTCTGGATAAATCTCACTTAATCTGGTGCTGGTTTTTGTTTGTAAATATTTTATTTGAGTCTATATACATTATTTCTGAGTATATCTGCATAAATTAAACTACCTAATAATTACTATTTTAATATTTGTTTTAATTTTTTCTGGAGGAATTTTTGTTGGTTGGATGTCATGAAAATTTTGCCTCATAAAGTTAGTTGAGATTCTTTTCCATCTTTTTCTCTACCCGAAACGAGGTATGTGAAATTTGATTATCTGCTGCTCCATGTACTCTGGACCTATGATCTTGAACAATTAGTAACTTTGACTACTTCTTCATTTTCCTTAACAATTATTCATATGTTCAGATTTTCTCTCTGTTCTAGAATTTTTTTAATGAAGCTTTATCTAAAACAAATGTGTTCATATTAATTATATACAGCATTTTCTTATTTTAATTTGTATGTTGCTTATCTGCAATGTATCTGCTTGTCTAAGAATATTACTTTTTGATCAGTTCTGTGAGATTTAAATATTTTTATTAATTTTCTCAAAAAACCACCCTTTAGTGATGTCAATCACCTTCATCAATTTTTTGTTTTGCTTTTTATTTTAACTTTCAGTGTTTTTATTTTCTATCTTCTAATTTTTTACTGATTGTATTGTTCTTTTTCTAGCTTCTTCAATTAAAATCTCAGCTCGTGTGTTTCTAGTCTGTCTTGTTTAAAAATAAATGTTTTCATGCTATAAATTCCCCTACATTTTATTTAGAATTAGTTATATACCAGAAAAATAGAATATGTGCTCACCTACGTAAATGATGCATGATAATAAGATGGCAAAAACTAATGCTAGTGACCATTGTTTAAAAATCTCAGAATAGTTAAAATAAAATGAAAGTAGAAAGTAGAAGTGTGTGAGTGCAGATATGCACTTTGTTCACAGTCCAGGTCTGCTTCCCATTTTAAATACTGAGGTATGAATTTACAGGTCTCCACAGAAAATTGAACAAGGCGGAAATAAATCAGTTCTGAAACTGATGGACCGCATCAATGATCAAATTCACCAATGAATGTTTCTGCCCCCAAAGTAACATCACAGAGAACAAGAACTTCAAAGTAAAAACGGCTAATAATAATTTTCTTGATACGTGATATAGATTTTTTCCCCTTTATTTCTGCTAAAATTCCCCATAATCTCTTACTCCTGCCTGTGATAAAAAAATATGTAGATGTGGCCAGGTGTCTTTTAAGAAGAAATTTCACTTCCCTGGTTTTTTACTGAAATTTTGCATCCCTGCACTCAAAATTCTCTTTTAATTCTTTTTTCTAGAAGCGAGAAATTTCCTATAAATTTCCAACTTGCTATAGACTTTATCAGTTAAACCTTTTCTAATGTGTGAATAAGAAAAATATTTTCTTAAAAATCGCTATGAGCAATAAAAATAAGAAATTCATAATTAAATGATTATAAACAGTAAACAAATATTTACAAATGTTATGATGCAAGGACGTATTAAATCTACTCTCATTTGCAAAGCTGACTATAGACATCTGGTCAAATGTTTGCATTTCCTTGAAAAAAATCTTTTGGATGCCATTAAAAAGTTTAGAACAAAATTAAAATCTAATTAGTAAATTAGAAAAACATAAAATATTAAGTTACATTCTGTAACTATTCAACAAAATTTTACTTTTTAAAAAATGCCATCTTTCTACTTGATCAAGTTACTTTTATATCCACTGACAGGAGAAGGGACACAGGTGGGTGGGTGCCATACCCAGCACTTTACATGTTCTCACAAATGGAGAGGCTTTGTCATTAATCTACTTACCCACTTCACTGCACTGACTACTAACTCTGACAATACAGCTGACTGCTTCCAATTGCGAAATCTCAGGAGGCTTATGTTTCAGCTTCTATTTTCTTCTAAGACCACTTACAAAACTGCCTGACATTTTCTACTAGGATCCATATCCTCTCTTGAGGAGATTCGTGGGAGCGGAAACTTCTGTCCCCTAAATGTAAACCCACTGTGGCTGAGCAGAGTTTGTTTTGGAAACCAACAGGAATCCATACTAGGAAAGGGGGAAGCTCTATTTTTATCCTATGTTGAGGTTGTGTAACCTACAAATAGGGAAAGGAAGGAATGATTGTCAGAGATTTTGTGGAGAATAACTTGGTAAATGTTGAAGTTTGAGTCTGGGTGATTAAATAAAGACATCAAAAAAGGAATGAGCTTGGAGGAAGAGATTATTCATTATATTTTAAATACCTGGAGACACAGCTGCTTCTTATTTGTTTTGGAATAAATTACAGTGAATCAGTTTACTGTACAAATAGGAAACACTGAATGTATGATGAATGAATGAACAAACTTATCGTGTCAGGTTGAAATTCATGGAAACCGTCTTGCATTTTGATTATTTAACTGTCATCGCCATGGCATTATATGGTTTATACCCCATTCCATAACAGACAGGACAAGAGAGAGCATCTCTTTCCCCTACATTCAAACAAGAATCAGGTTTCATATAAACTGTGCCACCTTAGAGCAGGTGCCTAGCCCGGAGCCATCACTCTAAGCCAGGATAAGTGGGATCTGTATCATGATATGGCTTAAATTAGAGGTTAACTGTGCATCCTTTAGCCTATTCAGTTGTCAAGGATGCTGTCACATGATTGCCTTAGGCTGATCAGAGCCTGGGACTACAGAGGATGATGCAGTTGACCAACCAAAATCACATGGGAGATATGCAAGGGTGGCAGTGTAGATTGGAGCCTAGAGAAGCAACCAACCAGTCTAATCCAGGTAGGAAGACTGCACAGTCTACTGTTTGCTCTCCTCGGTCCCACATTTTTCACCTTTCCCGCTCTTCCATCTCAACTTTATTTTCCCAAAATTGCCACATGTGCAACTGCTGCCACCTGCACTTGATCCCTCTGGATGTTCTCCTTGCCCTCGGTTCCCATTATCAGCTCCCTAAACAAACTAGAGTGAAGTCCCTTTCCCCCAGTTTAACCTAAATAAGTTGCTGTACTAAGGAACTAAGATAGAAACCACAAACCATGAAAACAGTAAACTGTAGAATCAAATGAGGAAGGTAAAATTTCAAGGTCAAAAGATAGTGATGATCTTTCTCTTCCCCCTACTTTATATGCAATATGTTCCTGCTGCATAGTAAGTGCTGAAGGATTATTTGTTGAATTAATTAATGAATCTAAAGTAATTGAAGTCTAGCCATGGATATCTCAACTCACTGCCTTTAGGGGTCATTAGTCACAAAGATTTGGTCTTCGTTATTCATGAATTCTGTATTTGTGATTAGCCTACCTGTTAAAATGTATTTGTAACTCTCAAATAATTACTCACAACACTTTCACATCGTTGATAGACATGAGCAGAGTGCTCGAAATTTGTCACTCTCCTCATACATTTCCAGCTGAGGTCGAACAAGGTGGTGCTTTGTCTTCTCGTTTCTGCTCTCACGCTGTAAACAATTGTCCTTTTTACAGTCTGTTGAGTGACACATTTTCTGCATTTAGTGCTCTTAGTTGAGGGATATTTCTGTTTCAAATGGCTGTGAAGCATAGTGCTGAAGTGCTGTCTAGTGTTCCCAAGCACAAGAAGCCTGTGATAAACCTTATGGAGAAGATGCATGTGTAGATAAATTTTGCTCTCACATGAGTTGCAGTGCTGTGGGCCATAAATCTGGTGTTAATGAATCAACAACGCAGTAACTCTGGAAAAAGGAAGAGGAAATTCGCTGATCTGTATGTGGAGCTACTCCAGAAAGTGTTAAAGTAATATTTATAATGGTATAATGAAGCTATGGAAAGAAGGGAAAGGAGCTAGATTTGTGGATTCATGAGATGATGAGAATTTTATGTTTGTTTGTTTTAAAAATATGGTGGACAGCACACCTATGTGGCTGAAAGTAAAATAAATTTACCATCACATTACACAGGATGAGGAAAATAAACACTTCTTGGTTCGTGTTTTATTATAAAGGAATAATGCATATAATAAATATATTATTTGGAAATACATATTTATTAAATAAATTGTCTTTAAACAGAAATACACACAAAATAAGGCTATGTATTCATCAGTTGACACAAATGTTGTGACCAGAGGCTCACAGGAACATAACCCTGTATTTCTCACAGGAATGATGGCTCCCTATTCACTAACACTGTGTTCCCAGTGACTTTAACACAACAGCCATGAATAACGAGAATGTACTGTATGTGGTCTCCTTGCATTGATTTCACTTCAATCCTGAGGATCAACTCTTGTTCTCTTTTCTTCACCATCTTCTTTTCTCTTCAGTAACACTCTTGCACTACCACCTCTCAGGCATCACCTATATCAGTGTTTCTCAAAATTTAATGAACTTATGAATCCCCTGCTGATGTTGATAAATGCAAATTATGATTCAGTAGGTCTGAGGTGAGCTCCAAGACAATATATTTCTAAAAAGTTCCCAGCTGACAACGCTGCTACGTGTCCCTGAACCACACTGAATAGCAAGGGCCTAAATCCTGCCTTCCTCATTTTGTTCAGAATATTTGGAGAAATATTTTCACTCCAATATGTCCCTATAGTTCAATAATAAGAACAGTCAGAGGCAACACTGTATTTCTCCTCAGGGACTCAGAGAAGTCACTAAGGAACTAGGAAAGTGTGAAGATTTTGGCCAAGTGAGGAGACTTTAACAAGAGCACCAAAAGTCTCAACAACTACAAACTTGTCAGGAAAGAAGAGAATAAGAAAAGATCATAAATTTGGGATAAATTCAACATAGATTTTTTTATTGTGCATATATTATATGCAGGTAATATTCTTTGGCAAGGTTGCACATATTAAAAAGACGTGGACTTGCTCTCAAAAAGTTTAAAAATTATAAGGGGAAAAAGTTTCCAAATAGCTGCAACAAAGGGCAGGAAGTAAGGAGTAAATTTGGCAAAGTACAGTTCAACTTCGCTGGGAGTTCAGACAAAGTGGAGACAGCTTCCACTCATAAGTCAGAGAAGACCCTCTGGAGGAAGTGACATCTTAAATAGACTTGATGACTCATTAATATTTGAATATGTGGAGTTTGCTAAGACCTTATCCATTCAGAGTTATAATTTGAGTTTTAAATTCCTAGAATCCAAGTCAGAACAACAAATCCTGTAAAATTAAATTTAGCTTGTATTCACAATGGATCATTAAGCAAAATAAACAACAACAAAAAATGTTGTACAAGAAGAGTTGAAAGGACTTCATCACCATGTTGGGTTTAGATATGTCCTGGGCTGCAGGGATCTCAGTCCAAAGGGAGAAGAGTTCTTTGAAGTTGATGGCGTATCCTAATAAGAACAGAGACGGAAATCACTCTGCGTGAGCTGGAGGTGAGAAGTAAGGAGTAAGAAGGGAAGGGACTGAGAGGAGGAGAACTGAAGAGAGAGAACACAAAAAAGATGGGAAGACAAGTGGGGAGTGGGGAAAAGAGCAGGAAGGATGGATACAAAGAACTCACCAGCGCTTCCTAAGCCAAAATGCAAGACCTGTCAGAAGCACCAGGGCCACTATTACTGCCAAGAAGATTAAGCCCGTGGAGATGTGATGCTCTGTGGATTTGGGTGCACACAAGAACGTCATTTCAAATCTACCCTCCCTTTTGCTGCATTTCCATGGCTTTCCTTTGTTCATTTGAATGTCTGCCTTACCAATCTCCTTTTCTTATTTCCTCTCTCATTCTTTTCAGAGATGAAAGCTTCATCTAACCCTCCACATCCTCCTACATCTGTACATCCCTCATTTTCCTTTTGTATATTTCTTGGATAACTTTTATTTCTTTTGGGTCTGAAGACCCTGGAATCCCAAAATTTTCTTCTGGATGTTCTGCTCTGCTTGTGGACCACCTATTCTCATTCCCGGCTTGGGCCCAAGTTCTTTCTTACCCCAGTAGAGGATCATGTCCTGGCCTCCTAGACTGCTGTGTCTCACCCGGCAAGACAGGCCAGCTGTCTCAATGGCTTTCACATCCAAGGACTTCCGAAGATACCATGTCCCATCAGCATTGGGCAAGATGTCACGTTGCTGAGTGCCTGGATGCTCCTGGTCACCCAGCATCCACATCACCCAAATAGGCTTTGGGTAGAAGCCAGAGACATGACAAAGCAGCATCAGATGGCCAGGATGAGGGCTGGGACCAGAGGACAGCCAGGCCTCTGGTTTTACTGCAGAGGACAGGAAAGATATTCACATGAACACTAAGACAGACTTACAGGTTCAAATCTTCACATCAGTTTAGACAGACATATCTTTCCCATCTCTAGGAACTTGTCACTCATTATTCCCTTCCCTCTTGACTCCTTCTTAGGAAGGTGGGAAGGGGATGATAGGAAAGTGTGATCTTACAATACAGAATTCTTGGAGGAAGGGTGCATGACTGACCTTGTCGCCCGAGATATGCCTTTCCTGCATCAAGAAGACCCAACAGGAAACGTGGGCAGGTGTCACTGAGGAGCCTGTCTATTGATTCCAGGATGACTATATCCCCGTTGAATAGTGTGGAGGCATGCTGAGCCCTGCTTCCACCAGTTGGAGATGGCCACCATGAATTGTTCTGGAAGATGAGGAAATCTGATCCTTGATAAGCAATCCGTAGGAAGCCTACTGAGCCTCTCCCAAAGTGCATCTCACAGCCTCCTACCATCTGTACCTCAAAGGGATCTGGAGAAAAGGGGTTGTGAATTAGAGGGAAGACAGAATAATGAAAAGAGTGGAAACAAAAGATAGTAGAAACAGAAGGGAGAAGTTTAGGAGATTTGAGGTTATGGAGCAAAGTTAGGTTTGATCAGAAGTTAAGTAAAACAGGAATTGTTGGTAGTTGGATATGAAGGAAGAGATGAATGACATGAGGAAGGGACAAATTGTTCAAAGAAGGCAACATGAATGGCCTGGGCAGAGAATAAGGTAGGACTCGGTGTGACAGAGTTAGCATTATAATAATTTAGGGTGAATGGAATCCAACCGGTTACAATGAATATATCAACAGAGATTCCTGAAGAGATGGAATAGGGGAGAAAATCATCCTTTAAGGAGTCAATCAAAGAGTGAGGAAGCTCCAAGTACCTGGTTGCAGGCGAGGGAAAGGGGTGGTCACAGGAGACCACTAATGGAAAGTAACAGGAGAAAAGCCTGCAGTCAATGAGAGAGGTGTTTGCAAGTAACAAAAGAATTGAAGCTTTTGAAGAATCAAGATCTCAATAGTCCCGGCCCAAAGTGTATAATTGCAATTTTATGATGAGGGGCGATAAGGTTCAGAGATAAATGCAGGCAGTTTCCTAGAGGAATAAGAAACTCATTGAAACACAAACACACCTCCCGCCAATATCCCCACGCCCCATGAAGGGAACTGAACTCACATGCAAGCTGCCATTCACTAGCAAGGTTGTGAAATGCCCAATGAATTCCAGTGACGGTGCCACGAAAAAAATTTTCCAATTCCATCATTTCCTCATTGCTGAAGTTGCCCTTGGACCAGGGCCACAGGAAAATGATACCGCCAGGGTTGGTCTTCCACCCGTGAACCTGCAACTCACCCAACCAACCTGAACCCAGAGTTTGTACCCAGGAACGGTTGTAAAAGGATGAGATCTGGATGATTTGGAAGGAGATGGGCTCCTGGAAATCTGTGGCAAAAGAACAGATAAAATGAGGACTAAATCAGGAATTGGAAAGGAGAGAGAATAGAGAAAGAAAGATGCCAGAGAGAGAAACTCAGAATCTGAAGGAAAGGGAAACCATAGTTATCTCAGCAGACATTTGCCTGCTCCAGGGCCCCACGCTTTATATTCAAACTTCAGAAGAGCATGAGACCTGGTCAGGGACACTCAGAATGGAACAAGGCTGACACTCTCCTTCTGCAGGTATATTCTTGGGAAAACCCACCACACACACACAAACAAACATACACTCACACAGAGAAACCCTCTTGCACCCAATGGGCATTTGCCAGAGTTCTTACCATCTTTATTGTCACCACCTGGGAGGAGAACTGCTAGCAATAGAAATTGCAGGAACAGCATTTCATTTGCCGATGTTCTTTCTTTCTTTCAGAAAAGTTGATCTTTGATTTCTGTTCTAAACAAACCTACCCCACAATGCCTATATTCTCACTTCCTTCTTCTTCCAACAGAAAAAGCTTTCCTTTCATCACCGCCTGCAACAAAGAAAATCTGCTCCTTCCCTAAACCCTGGGCCACCTATTTGGACTCTCATTTCCCCTCCAGTTCTGTGGACCGCCTACTCAGAACCTCATTTCCCCTTCAGTTCTGTGGACCGCCTACTCAGACTCATGGCCCCTCCAGTTCTGACTCTCCTCTCTGGTTTCCGGCTTCTCTCCTGTTTACCTCTCCCTAATTCAGTTGCTGTGAAACAATCTTTTATGGCATTGAAAAGTCACTTTACCTCTAGGGCCTTTTGATCTCACTCATACAATAAAAGCATAAAACTAAGTGGCTTCCCAGCACCCTACCTAATCTTCTCGTGCCCCTGCTCTTTTCTGTCACTCTGTCCTTCTCCTGCCCTTTTTTTTCTTTCTTTTTTTTTTTTTTTGAGGAAGATTAGCCCTGAGCTAACATCTACCATCAATCCTCCCCTTTTTTCTGAGGAAGACTGGCCCTGAGCTAATATCTGTTCCCATCTTCCTCTATTTTATGTGGGATGCCTGCCACAGCATGGCTTGACAAGCAGTGCATAGGTCCACACCCGGGATCCAAACCAGTGAACCCTGGGCTGTCAAAGCAGAACATGTGAACTTAACTATTGTGCCACTGAGCTGGTCCCCTTCTCTTGCTCTTTTGAATATTCCCCAAATATTTTCTTCCCCTCTCTCACCCCGACCCCACTTCATTCACATCTCTGACTTCTCATTGGTTGCCTTATTCGCTTTATCAGAATCCCTATGATTGCCCTGTGTAACAGAATAAATTATCACCAATTCTCCATTATTCATAGGGAAAAACCAGTAGCCATCACAGAGACAACAGGAACATTGAAACACAGAAAGAAAAAGCCCCTCACTTTAACTTGCATTGATATATGTTTGCTCACCAAATTGTCACTCAGCACCTGCTGGATCTAAGCATCTTGCTACAGTCATGACTATACAATGGTTGACAATGCGATCACTTTACTCAAGGAGCTTTTTTTCTACTTGGGAAGAAAAACAGTTAAATGAAGAACGATAAATCTTGGTGTGTTGCGTTTTCCTGTAATGTATAGACTAGACAAAAGCAATCGAGCTTGAAACAGTATTTTCTAAATTGGCAACCCTCAGAATCTTCACTTCAGTGGTTGGCTTGGGTGTTATGTCAATACTTCTATTGTGCTGGATCCCCAACATCTAACTGAGTGTCTGGCAAGTGGTAGGTACTCAAATAAGTATTTTTGAATGATTGGATGAATTCAGTTCAGACATCCAATTATTTTTTTAAATTATGGAGATCTTCAACAAAAAAAATTTTAAGATATTAGAAAGCGTTACTTGTATTCCTACTTGTTGAAATGAAAATCTTATACAGTTTTATTTAGGATGGAAGTACATGCTAAAAAACATGGTGTTTACACAGAGGGTGCTGCTCTGAATCTCTTATTACTTATAGTAAGGGAGCAGTGAAAACTTGTTGGAAGCAAAGTTAGTAGAGTATTCGGGAATTATTTATCCAAGATTCCTTTCTCATTGGTTCTGCTTGAATGTTTTGTGCTTATCTTATCATGATCTGGTCTCTGTGTACACGCCAACCTTCCTCTTTCATGGAGTTTATAACTGTTTAAAGGCTCTTAAATATTTATTTGCACTTTGTATCATCTGGATAAATGTATTTGGGCTGTTTATTTTGTTATTTCTTGGTTTACAAGTAAACAGAAATTATCTCAGCCTAATTTCAGGAAGATGATAATTTTTTGGAAAGTTAAGGTTAGAACATAGAAAGAACTTCACTTCCATACTTACAATCTTAAAAAGCTGGATAATCAAAATCACAACCTTTCTTGAATCCATCAAAGAGCTGAACTATTAAGGGAAACAACCCAGAATCTAAGGAAAAACAGACTCCTTCAAGAAAATTTGGGATGCAAATCCTTGCTGACTTGGGACAGATGCCAGATGCTATACAAGCCAGTAAGAATAATTCAGCTAAAATTATTAACAAATTACTGAAGGCTAACATGAGTTATAGTACCCCTGAGAGTCTCAGAGACAGGAAATTTACTTATATCTCCAGGCTTTTTTCCATAGACCTCACCAGGGGCTCCTGAAACATTGGAGTCAAGCATGTAGACCAGAGAAATCTTTTCTTTTGGTGCAAGTGATACCAAACTTTTTAATCTCAAGTTTGTGTGCCCAATGTGCAGTAAACCAATCACTGAGCCATTGGTGCTTGGAGATGGAGAAAGGTTTTACTTGAATATGCCAAAATGAGAAAGTGGGAGGATGAATTCTCTCAAATACGCCTTATCAAGAGAAGAACGTAGAGAGGTATGATAGAGTTAAGGGGCTTGTCAGGAGTAGTTTTGGAGAAACAAAAGGCATCAACATTCTTTCGCTCCAGAAAAGGCTTTAGGCAATCTGACTTCTGGACATCATTGGTATCTGGGGGCTGGTAATCCAGTCACCGCAACTTCTCTGAAGACATACTCTTGCTTCTGTAAAACAACTTCACGGCTCCTCTTGACCCCTGAGTCATCTCTCAGAGCATTGGTATTGGTCAACAAACAAGGAAACAGAAAGTCGACAAGATTCATCTATGTTTCTTCTGGGAACCAGATTGAAAGTCAATCATCTTCTTATTGAATATGTTCAGTAACCCTCAGGTACTCAGCTTCAAAAGCCTGAGGTATGAGACCAGCTACTTCATGAGAAAGGCAAGAAGTCCCAACCAGGTCCTCCCCTCTCTGCCACACAGAAAAGAACCCTTAATCTGGAGGGGAAGCACAGAAAGTCCTCTTGCCTTCAGGGCACAGGTGAAGACGCACTGAATCTGGGAGAAGGGGAAAAATGGGGAAGGGACAGTAAAATGTCCTGTCCTACACTGTTAGAGGTTCCTTACTGCTGAGAGAAAGGGAGGAACTCTTAAAGGCTCCATCACAAATCCTAAAAAACAAAGCACCTGCCTGAGAATGAGACTGAACCAGAGTAAAGATAATGCCCTTACTCCCTCTCCTAAGCAGGTTAGCAAGTATCAAGTCACAGGAGCCATCACTGCTGGAAGAGGAGCAAGAGTATGGAGATAATTCCTCTTGAGGAACAGCACAAAGGACGCACCCAAACCTGAGAGTGAAACAGACATTAAAGAAAAATCCTCTGGCCTAACTGCAGGGACCTACAACTAGAATATACAACTATGTACTGGGAGGCTTTGGGGAGAATAAGAAGGAAAAAAAAAAAAAAAACAATTGGCAACAGATGTTAGCTCAGGTGCCAATCTTTAAAAAAGAAAAACCCTCTGGCAAACAGCCCCTCCCTGCAAACAAAGTAATGCTGGAGGAATTTGAAGACCCTTGAAACAGCAATGAAACACAAACCCAGTTAACTCCTGACAAGATTGATTCAAACCCCACGCTCAACGCCTAGCAAAAGAAAAGGCACACCCACTTCCAGAACCCCCCGCAGAAATACTGTTTACCTCAATGTCTATTATTCTACACAAGATGTCTGAATTAGGACCAAAAATATTAAGCATACATGAAAACTAAGGGAAGTGAAGCCCACAGTCACCTAAGAGGATCTCCGTCTTCCTGAGGAGGAAGAAGAGGAGGATAGAGGGAGGAGGAAGAAGGTTGGAGAGAGAAATGGAAAGAGCCGCAAGTTTCTTCAGCTCAGCTCTGTGGGCAGTTAATCCTGACCAGGGATGCAGGAAGCAGCTGGTACTTGAGTAATTATCCCACTGTGGATCTAAAGCTTTCCCAGCCAGCCCCAATCCTGAGCACAGACTAGGCTATAGTGGAAGAAGGACAAAATAAAGAAGAAAGGAAATAGGTTTTTGGGAGCTCAGGGATACTAAGAACTGGGAGAGTTGAGAAAAAGCAAAACTGAAGGCAAAAATCAAGAGATTAAATGGGGACAAGAGGAGGTGACCAGAAACAAGGATTTAGAAAAACAAAGACCTGGGAGAGAAGGAGATGGCTATACAGGTCACTGACAATCATGTTTTCTCAGACATAAGAAACCCCAGAAGAGAAAACTGGTATGAGTGAGACATACCTTGATTAGAACTCAATCAGGCAGAGTATCCCAGCCTTCCTAGGGGAGTCCAGCATTCTTCCTTGTGTCAGCAGAACTCCCTGGGTCCCTCTTCATTCGTTGGTGCTCAGGCCACAAGCTTTCTTATAGTCTTTCTAACAGCTCTTATTTATTCCTTCCCCAAACACCATCACAGCTATTGAATCCCTCCCTCTTCAGTAAAGCTCTCCTCAGAAACCGGATGTGAACTCCCCTCACACAGTCCCACACACTCATTTGACATCCCCCCTCACCATCAACAGAAACCTCAACTTCCCAGCTAAAGAAATCCTCTGCTTTTGTAACCATGTGCCTTTGACTAAGCTTCTCATTTTCCCTCATACTCTGCTTCATGTCTTTCTCTCACCTTTCTGGCTTCCAGAAGCTCTTCCTGCATCTGGTCTGTCTGCCTCCTGCTACTCACAGCAAATCTCCTGCAGTAAAATGAGCTTTGGTCTGAGGGTCAAGATGAATTCCTGGATGGCACACTCCTGGATGCAGTGAATTGGAGAAATCATATCAGCATTCTGGCCTCAGTTTCCTTATCTGTAAAAGAACTGAGTTGAAAGAACTGATTTTCTACTATCACTGTTGGTTCTGACATTCTGTGTGTATTACTTCTATGGGCTCCCATTCCCTCCCACCCATGTGTTCCTCTATTTCCCCTCTATGCTTCCCCCTCTTTACTCCTTACTCTTCCATGTCTTCACAGTTATTCTCCACTTGGGCTTCGTCTCAGCTGAAGACGACGTTCAGCGCTAAAGCTTCATTTTCTCATATGACCCTTGGGTTCCTGTATGTAAATACCTAAAACATAGTTATGGATTCTATTTCTGGCAAGATGGCACACTACATAACCTGAAAAGACAGATAATACAAACACACAGGAATGCAACATAAAAAAGTGTCTTTTAACTTTTCAAATGCAGAGCTGCATTCACAACAAAATAAGGGAAACTCTAGGGATCAAAAAAAATAAATGGAAACCCAGAGAAGCAAGCATGAAATGACACTTGGGCATAAGTGGTGTTATGTGGGTTCCCTGTAGGTTTGGCTATTGTAGTGGTTTGGATCAGGAGATAAGGCCTTAGTTCAGCCAAACAAGGAGAAAGATGAGGGTTCTTCTACACTCTCATCTAGTCCAAGAAAATATCCACCCGACGGTACATGGGAGGAAGCTTGTCTATCTGTGTATTCACTGAATGTTGGTTTGGTTTTTGTTTGTTTCTCCTTCTGAGAATTACTAATCACAAGTCTGAAACTGAAGTTGAAAATATTCTACTTGTGTGATCCTGGAACACATAATCCAATAGATTAAAATACAATGTGATTCCAACTTTATAATACCTCTGAAACACCTAGTGAAATTTAAAGCAAGTTAATCTGAAGAGAAGCACCCTCAACACAAGCTGCTAAGGATTCCCACCCATAAAGCCCTTCCTAATATGAAGTCACAATCCAAAATTAGAGAACGCAGAGAGAAATAATTCATCATGAAGGACAGTTGGCAGAAAAACAACCAATAAGTTAAACTCTCAAGAAATTACACTTAGAGAAAATTATATTTTAAAAGCTTAAAGACATAAGAAGCAATAATACCAGAAAAGAAAGAAACATGATCAAAAAATACTGGGCATATTTTTTAATAGCAACTTAACCCTTTGGTTATAAAGACTCTAATCATTGTAATTAAAAACTCAATGAGTGGATTAAGCAACAAATAGAGGAAGCAATTTAAAAGTATTTCTAAGTTGGAAGATCTGAAGAATTTCTTATAAGGCAATACAGAACTAAAGGGCTGTTGTTATGAAAAAAGAAGCTAAGAGATATGATGACTAAAATGAAATGTGATATAAGCCCAATAGGAATTTCATTAGGAGATAAAACACATAAGGAGAAGAGGAAATATTTGGAGAAATAATGGCTGAGAATTTTCCAAAAATAAGAAAACTACAAATCTTTAGATTCAGGAAAGACAAATGCTCCAAAGCAAATTAATCTTTATGGAAAATAACCTTCATTTTTCATAGAGAAGAAAGTAACTCAAATATTTAAGTAAATTAGAATATACATCAGTTTTAAGCAAAGTTCCTTTTTCTTAGATTTCAATGATTTCATAAGTAATAATTCCATCAATGTCTACTGAAGGGGAACAAAATTTCCACCCCATAATGTGTCTCTTTAAAATAAGCATTATTTTGGGGGCCAGCCTGGTGGCTCAGCGGTTAAGTGCACACACTCCACTTTGGCAGCACGGGGTTTGCCAGTTCGGATCCCAGTTACGGACATGGCACCGCTTGGCAAGCCATGCTGTGGTAGGCATCCCACATATAAAGTAGAGGAAGATGGGCACAGATGTTAGCTCAGGGCTAATCTTCCTCATAAACTAAATAAATAAATAAACAAATAAATTAATTAATTAAATAAGTATTATTTTTAAGAAACAAAAGACTCAGAAAATTTTTCCTGTTACCTCCCCCTTCACTTGCCTAAAACAATTTAGATAAATGGCCTATAGTAGGAACAGAGGTTATGCCAGGGACATCCACAAAGAATATGGGTAAAGAGTTGGGGGGAAGATAGCAGGGACATCAGAGACATCTCCATGTCCCATTGTCTCTGCATGGCATTGCAAACATTGGTTTGCCAAACATTTGCCTTTCTATCTCCATGTGAATTGCCTTCCTCCCCTCTGAAGTCCCAAACCAGTACCCTAACATCCTCTTCTGTCTTTAGCTGAAGATGGTATTTAAGGTGGTGGCTTTGGCTATTTCAGTGAGTTACTCAGTTTTCCTGAGTTCCTTTCATGTATACATGCTATTAAACTTTGTTTGATTTTCTCCTGTTAAATTGTCACATATCAATTTAATTCTTAAACCAGAAAGGAGAACCTAGAAGGGTAGAAGAAAATTTCTTTCTAGCCTACAATACTATAAACCAAGGGCTGTGCTAAACCCTAAGATTACAAAGAGGAGAAAGATAGAAGCTCAAACTCTGGAGAATGAAACATATAATGAACTATAAATGTCGAGTGGGATAAAAATCTTGCAAGAAAAAGCACAGGGATCAAATGAGCCTCATTAAATCCTTTGTATCTATATTTGTGCTGCTTACATGGCCATGGTCACTCTGAGCACCAGAATATTGGCTGCAATTATCAGATAGGACGGAGGAAGTGAGACTATATACCCATGAGAATATTTCAAGTTGTTTTTAATTCAGAAATTTATGAAGATATCAAAAAAGATTGAAACTGAACTTGTGTGTTAGATCAATTTCTCCTAACTCCTCAATGAGAAGCTGATGGGAATTCTCAGACAGTCAGAGAACATTCTCTTGGTTATACTGCGTAATAGTTCTCACCTGTTCTAGCAATCATCAGATAATAAGGAGAATAATTAACACACCTAGTAGGTAGCTCTTTGTGGACCATTTACATTCAATATTGATATTTTTTCTGCTTTATTTTGTCAGGGCCCTCTTTATCAGATAAGAAGTAGGCGAAGAAACTCTGCTACACATTTACTCAAAGTTCTCCTTAAAAGCATCCTCTACAAAAAGTAATTTAAGAATACTTTGATTTTCCCTAATATGTTCTGAAAATGCTGCCAAAATGTTTAATTATTATCCTGCAACGCCTGTTATATGCTTGTTTACTTTGCTACCTTGCTTAATGACTAATCATCCAGAAGAAAACGTTGCCAACATGGGAAGCATTGGTTTGCTAGGGTTGCCATAACAAGTACCACAGACTGGGTGCCTCAAATGACAAAAATTTATTTCTCACAGTTCTAGAGGCCAGAAGTCCAAGATCAAGCTGTCAGTAGGTTTCGTTTCTCCTGAGGCCTCTCTCTTTGGCTTGTAGATGCCCATCATCTTGCCGTATCCTCACATCATCTTTCTTCTGTGCCCATGCACCCCTGGTGTCTCTTTGTGTGTCCCAATTTCCTCTTCTTATAATAATACCGTTCCAATTGGATGAAGGCCCACCCTAACAGGCTCATTTTAATTTAAGTGCCACAGTAAAGACCCAATCTCCAAAGTCAGTCACATTCTGAGATATTGGGAGTTAAGGCTACAACATATGTATTTTAAGAAGACATTATTTATCCCATAACACTGGATATTTGCACTTTTCAAAATCTTCATCATTTCACTTCTTTCACTTTTCAAAACCTTCTTGACTTTCAAAGATATTTTTTTTTTAAAGAAGTGTCTCATAGACATCTAGATTCAGAGACTTTTCCTATGGCTTATGAAAGTAACCTTAACTTCCAAAAAGTTTGTAAGTCTGTATTGTTTTCTTATGAATAATTGTTACTCCAGTATTTATATTTAAGTTGACATGACTGTTTTCTAAAATGTATAAATAATTCAGATTTTTCTTTATTAAGCCAGAGAGAAACATTTTCTTTTTCCTCGTTTTTTTTGTTGTTGTTGCTGTTGAGGAAGAGTAACACTGAGCTAACATCTGTTGCCAATCTTCCTCTTTTGTTTGAGGAAGATTGTCATTGAACCAACATCTGTTCCAGTATTCCGCTATTTTGTATGTAGGACACAGCCACAGCATGGTTTGATGAGTGGTGTGCCGGTCCATGCCCAGGATCTGAACACACGAACCCTGGGCCATTGAGGCAGAGTGTGAGAAATTAACCATTATGCAACCAGGCTGGCCCCTATTTTTCCTCTTCTTTCACAAGCTGCACTTAAAGAATTTCTTCACTCTTATTAGTTAATTGACAAATATTGAAAAAAATAAAATTTGGGCTGGCCCTGTGGCCTCTTGGTTAAGTTTGGTGTGCTCCGCTTCAGTGCCTGGCTTTGGTTCCCTGACACTGACCTACACGATTTGTCAGTGGCCATGCTGCAGTGGTAACCCGCCTACAAAAACTGGCATTTTCTGTTAGCTCAGGGCAAATCTTCCTCAAGCAAAAAGAGGAAGATTGGCAACAGATGTTATCTCAAGGTGAATCTTCCTCAGCAAAAAAAAACAAGCAAAATTTATCCCTATTCCTTCCCATCACAAAATAAAGTCCAGATATTGTAGATCTAAAACTAAAAAATAAAATAGTTAAGCTTCTCAAAGTTAAAACAGTACAGTGGTTTTCAAAACGTGATCCCCAGACCAGCAGACTCAGCGTCGTCTGGAAGTTGTAAGAAATGCAAATTGTTGGACCACTTCCCTTACCTACAGAATTAGACACTCTAGAGGTACTCCCCAACAATCTGTGCTTTAAAAGCCTTCTAGATGATTCTGATGCCCACTCAAGTTTGAGAAACACAGATTAAAGAGAATATCTCACAACTTTAGAGTAGGAGTAAAAAGTTTACAGGAGTAGATAACAATAGTTATAAAGAAAGACATTGACAAACTGTGTCCTATTAAAAAGAAAAACTTCTCATCAAAATACAACTCTAAGAGAGTGAAAAGTAAACCAAATACTGGTAGAAAATATTCACAATACACATACCCAACACAGGACTAGTATCTCAAAATTATAAAGGACTACAAATCAATAAGAAAAACACTGACCCCCCTCCCAAGCCACCCACACACAAATAGATAAAACTTAAACTATTACTTCACAAAGAGTGTATATAAATGGCTAATAACCATATGAAAATATGTTAAGTGCCACTAGTAAACAGGGTTGAACGAACTAAAACAACAATTGCATACACTAAACCCCCACCAGAATGGCTAAAAGTTAAAGGGCTAATAATATGAAATATGGGTGCAGATGTGGAGAACACAGAAGGTAGATTGGTATAATTACTAGGAAAGCAAGTTTGTCAGTATGTATTAAATGTGAAAAAACATGTATAATAATGACCCTGCATTTCCATTTCTATGTATATTCCCAAGAGAAATGAGTGTTTCTGTTCACAAAAAGACATGAAAAAAAAGGCTTAAAGCAGCATTATTCAAAATAGCTAAAGTCTTGGAACAATTCAAATGTGCATCCATAGTAGAATAGATAAACTGTGCTTTATTCACACGATGGAATATTACACAGCAATGAAAAACAATGACCTGCTGCTACATGCAACGACACAGATAAATCTTGCTGAAAAAATGTTGAATGAAAGAAAGGAGATTCAAAATAGGACTTTGTGTATGATTCTAGTCATATGAAAAACAGAATCAAAACTAATCTATGGTGTTAGAGATAAGAATGTTGTCTTTATGGGGCGGCCCTGTGGTGTTGTGGTTATGTTGGGCAGGTTTGGATCCCAGGCACAGACTCACTTGTCAGCCACGCTCTGGCAGCAAACCACATACGGACTAGAGGAAGATTGGCACAGATGTTAGCTCAGGGCCAATCTTCCCCAAAAAACAAAAAAAGAGGAAGATTTACAACAGATGTTAGCTCAGGGAGAGTCTTTATCAGCAAAAAGAAAAGGAAAAAAAAGAAAATGTTACCTTTAAAAGAACGTTAACTGGGAAGTGGAGCCAAGAGGGAGACTTCTGGGTGCGGAAAACATTCTTTCTCAGGGTAGTGAGTTATGCTTAGGTTCCTTCCAGAAAGCAGACTCTAAAACAGGAAAGGAGAGAAAGTCAAAGTAAACTATATTGACTTGGGGAGCTTTATAGGTAAGACTTCATTGTGGGGACATGACACCAGGTATTAGGAGTGAGACTCTGGGTAGAGCAAAACAGGAAAGTATAGAAAGCCAGTACAAAGGTCTGTTATCAGAGTGGTCAGCACTATGGAAAACCAGGATCTGACCCCATTGGAACCCTCTGATGAACCGTGCAGGTTGTGCTTCAGCGTTGTCCACTGAGGGATCACATGTCCATGATCCCCCACCCCTCACAGTCAAGGATTGTTGCACTAGTGTTAAATGCTCCACCCTTGCAGTTTTGAGCACCCACAGTGATAAGCAGCTTCTCACAGGTGTCCCAACCACATCCTGAGAAAAGCCGTCATGTAAAAATGCAAAAGATAAGCAGTGCAGCAGAAGTCAGGTTCTGTTACCAGTTGCCTTAGCAATGGCTGGGGGGGGAAGTGAGCTGAGAAGATGTGAGGCAGGACACAAGAGATGTCTATACCAATAGGTTTTTATGTACAAGTGACCAAAAAAATATAATATACACACAAAATCAATTATTTTTTCATAGGAAAACTTCAATATGCCACAATTGTTCAGTAACCGTTTAACTCCCAGTGACACCTATGGGTGAAATACAGACATTTGCAAGCATCAAGTTACAGCTCTTCCTCTGGAAATTCTGTTGCTCAGTTTCACTCCATTCTGAATTGAAAACGCCACACCTGATGCTGACGGTCACCTGCAGTAACAGCTGATCATCTCTTAGGACCCTTATCTTAACCCACCACTTTAGGAAGAGCAGGCAAGCTCCACTTGGTACCTTGTAAGTAAACTCTATTGATGTGGGGAGCTTTGTAGGAAGACACAGCTGTAAGTGGAGGATTTTATCTGATTCTGGGCTACGTTTCCCATATTTTTTCTCATACTTACAGCCAGCCTTAAATGAGATCTCTATATTATATTTGTCATCTAAAAATCCTAATTTTTCCAGCTGTTGGGAGTGACCCTTTTATCAAAATTGAAGTGGGTTCCCTCCTTGTAGTTAAATCAGACTCTACACCAGAAGTAGTTGTCTTGGGGCCGGACCCATGGCTGAGTGGTTAAGTTCACAGGCCCTACTTTGGAGGCCCAGGGTTTTGCCAGTTTGGAGCAAATAGGAGACCATGAGGAATTATTTCCAGAGTCATGGCATCCCCAGACAAAGGAAGGCAGGGACATTTATTTTGGATGAGGAATGAATATTCAAGGGGGTGGGGGTTCTCTTGTGCAGGCTCAGTTGGAAAACATGCTTCCCCATACACTGCAGCTTATGGTAACAAGGCCTAAGCTCCTCCTGGAAAGATCTCAGCATTAAAAATAAGGCAAAGATCATAGGCCTAGCTATCATGGTGAGGCTTGATCTGGTTCAGGGTGGTTAGTGATTGCATCACTTTAACATAAAAGGAAAAGAACCATTTGGTAAAATTTAAAATATCCAAACCTGGGCCAGCCCGGTGGCGCAGAGGTTCAGTTCACACGTTCCGCTTCTTGGCGGCCTGGTGTTTGCTGGTTGGCATCCTGGTGCGGACATGGCACCCCTTGGCAAAAAGCCATGCTGTGGTAGGTGTCCCACATATAAAGTAGAGGAAGATGGTCACGGATGTTAGCTCAGGGCCAGTCTTCCTCAGGAAAAACAGGAGGATTGGCAGTAGTTAGCTCAGGGCTAATCTTCCTCAAAAAAAAAAAAAAGGAAATAAAATGTCCAAACCCACCCTTGAGTTCCTCGGGGTAACTAGTCAGGTGACAACTCTGTTTAAATCTCCAAATGAAAGTATCTATGAGAAAATATATCAAGTAAATTCCATTAAGCCAATTTAATTCTATTATTCTAAACACACAAATAATTAATTTCTATTTTTCCCAATTCTACTTATATTTTATTAAAAGTATATTCATTGGCATCAATTTTTTATGTGAAAAAATTATGCATGTAAAAACTAATTGGCAAATCAAATGTTGAATTTTACCTGTAGAGGTTTTCCTTTTGTGTTTTCCTTTGTAGTCATTATTTCTGCCAAAATGCAATTTTCCCAGATTGAAATATACAGATTTAAATGTTAATATATGCAGTTTTAACCACTATAAATTTTATTTCATGTTGGTTTTGCTAATCATATTTAAAAATTTAGATAAAACAAAAATAGCTTAGCTCATTGATCCAATTTTAATGAGATGTCCTATGATTTTCCTTTTTTCCCGTATTAGTTTATTATATTGCTAGTTTGGCTTCTCCACAAACTTTGCAAACTGTGTACTAACCCAGCAGACTCTGAACGGAGAAAAAAGGCTAGAACAGGAGCAAATGTTCTATGTTAGGGAGACTATCACGTCGCCTATAAGTGAAGATAGTTAGGCTTCTTGTTTTGTAATCTTTATGGCTCTAATTTCTTTCTTTTGTCTTATAAATTCTTAATTAATAAGTTAGGAACCGCCAGTACAATGCAGAATATAAATGGTGAGCACAGACATCTTTGGTTTAAATCTTTTTTTTTCTTTTTTTTTTTAACTACTATTTCTTTTTTTTTTTTTTCTTTCTCTCCCCAGAGCCCCTCTGTACATAGTTGTATATTCTTCGTTGTGGGTCCTTCTTGTTGTGGCATGTGGGATGCTGCCTCAGCGTGGTTTGAGGAGCAGTGTCGTGTCCGTGCCCAGGATTCGAACCAATGAAACACTGGGTTGCCTGTAGCACAGCGCGTGGACTTAACCACTCGGCCACGGGGCCAGCCCCTGGTTTAAACCTTTGGCCCTGAATCTTAGAAGAAGAGCATACAATGTCATCGTTTAACATGATCTTAGTTGTAGGTTTTTGTTGATGCCCTTTATCCAATTGAGAAAGTTCTCTTTTATTCCTAGTTTACTCGGAGTATTTGTCATGAAGCAGTGTTGAATGTTTCAAATACTTTATTTGTATCTGTTGAGACGATAATATGATTATTCTCTTAGATTTTGTTAATGTAGTAAATTATGTTGATTTTCAAATATTAAGCCAATCTCCCTTACCTGGGATAAATCCCACACGGTGATCATATAATAAGCTTTTTATACACTGTTAGATTTTATTCAATTTTGTTAAGGATGTTTGTATCTAAGTTTATGAGAAATGTTGTTGTATAATTTTCTTGTCTTGTAGTTTGTTGGTAAGTTTTTGGTGTTCTGGATATGCTGGCCTCATAAAGTAAATTGGGAAGTTCTGTCCTCTCCTGTGCCTTCTGAAAGATTTTATGGAAGATTGGTAATTCTTCTACTTTAAATGTTGATGGAATTCAGTAAATCTTCTGAGTCAAGATTCCTCTTTGTAGGAGGATCTTAAAAAATGAATTTAAAACATATGTTATTACAGATTTTTATTTACCATATTTTATTTTTTATATTTAACATTTAAAATAATAATAGCAAACTATTTTTAGTACAGAGCTATTCAGATAGTCTCTTTCTTCTTATCTTAGTTACAGTAAACTGGATTTCTCAAGGAAACTTTTGCTTTTAATATACATTTCGAATGTATTGGCATAAAGTTTTTCATAATAGTCCCAACTTAGCCCTTAATGATAGGATTGTGGTAATATGCCTTCTTTATTCTTAATACTGATAATTTGTTTTTTTCTCTTTTTTCTTTTATATTTTTGCTAAAAATTCTGTTTTATTTTTTAAATTTATTTTATTGAGGTCCTATTGGCTTATAGCATTGTGTACTTTTCAGGAGTACATTATTATACTTCATTTTCTATATAGACTGCATCATATTCACCACCTATGGTCTAGGTTTTATCTGTCACTATACATGGGTGCCCCTTTATCATTTTCGCCCTCTCCCAACCCCCTTACTTTCTGGTAACCACCAATCTGTTCTCCTTATCAATGTATTTGTTTGTTTACCATCCACATGTGAGTGAAATCGTATGGTATCTGTCTTTCTCTGTCTGACCTATTTCACTTAGCATAATAACTTCAAGCTTCATCCATGTGGTTGCAAATGGCAAAATTTTGTCTTTTTTATGGATGAGTAGTGTTCTGTTGTGTATATATATATATAATATATATACCACATCTTCTTTATCCATTCATCCATTGATAGGCACTTGGGTTGCTTCCATGTCTTGGCTATTGTGAATAATGCTGTGATGAACATAAGGGTACATATATCTTTTTGAATTATTGCTATCACGTTCTCTGGATAAATACCCATTAGTGCAGCAGCTGGATCAGGTGGTATTTGTCTTTTTTAATTTTTTGAAATATCGCCACATTGCTTTCCATATTGGCTGCACCAGTTTGCATTCCCACCAGTAGAGTATGAGGGTTCCCTTTTCTATACATCATCTCTAATGGGTGTCATTTCTTGTCTTATTAATTATAGCCATTCTGATGGGTATGAGGTGATATCTCATTGTAGTTTTGATTTACATTTTACTAATAATTAGTGCTGCTGAGCATCTTTTCATGTGCCTGTTGGCCATCTGTATATCTTCTTTGGAAAAATGTCTGTTTACATCTTCTTATATCCTCTGCCCATATTTGATTGCACTGTTCATTTTTTTGTTATTAATTTGTATGAGTTCTTTGTATATTTTGGAAATTACTCCCTTGTCAGACATATGATTTGCAAATATTTCCTTCCAGTTGGTGGGTCATCTTTTCATTTTGTTGATGGTTTGCTTTGCTGTGCAGAAGATTCTTAATCTGATGTCATCCCATTTGTTTATTTTTTCTTATGTTTTCCTTGTCTGAGTAGACATGGTATTCAAAAAGATACAGCTAAAACATGTCAAAGAGTGTACTGCCTAGGTTTTCTTCTAAGAGTTTTATGGTTTCAGATCTTACATTCAAGTCTTTAATCCATTCTGAGTTAATTTTTTTGTATAGTGTAAGATAATCATCTAATTTCATTCTTTTGTGTGTGAATGTCCAGTTTTCCCAACATCATTTATTGAAGAGATTT